AGTGGGGGTAGGAGGGTGGGAGGAGAAGGAGAGTGACTTTGGGGGAGGGTATATAAAGAAAATGTTCTAAAACTGATTGTGGGCTGGGCACCATGGCTCACTTGTGTAATCCTAGTGCTTTAGGAAGTTGAGACTGGAAGATTGCTTGAGGTCTGGAGTTCAAGATCAGCCTGAGCGAGAGCAAGGTCTTGTCTCTATAAAAAACAGAAAAATTAGTCAGATGTGATGATATGTGCCTATAGTCCCAGCAGCTTGGGAGGCTGAGGCAGGAGGATCACTTGAGCTCAGGAGTTTGAGGTTATAGGGAGCTATGAATATACCACTGCACTTTAGCTAGGGTGACAGAGCAAGACCCTGTGTTAAAACAAACAAAAAACACAACAACAACAAAAAGAACTTGTGGTGATCACTGTATAACACTATGAATATTCTAAAAAACACTGAATTGCAGAAACAAAAGAAACAAATACTGAAAAAAAAAATCAACAAAATCAGAAGCAATACTACATACAAAGAATAAACTATTGGCTAAGACCAGTGGTTCACACCTGTGATCCTAGAAATCTGGGAGGCCCAGGCAGGAGCATTGCTTGAGATCAAGAGTTCCAAACCAGCCTGAAAAAGAAAGTGAGATCCTGTCTCTATGAAAAATAGAAAAAACTAGCTGGGTGTGGTAGTAGGCACCTATAGGCCTAGCTGCTGGGGAGGCTGAGGCAGGAAAATCTCTTGCACCCAAAGAGAGTTCAAAATAAATAAATACAGAAATAAAAAATAAGAAAAAGAACAAACTTTTGTTTGGATTAATACTTAAAAGCATGTTAAGTAGAAGAAATCAGACCAAAATAGTATAAACCATATATTGCCATTTATGTGGGATTCTAGACCATGGCCTGCTGGTCCAATCTGGCCATCACCTGCCAGTTAAGTAATAATTCCTTTCACCATTTTTAAGGGCTGCAAAGGAGAAAGAGGAAAGGGCAAGAGTGGGGATGGGGAGGAGAAGGAGGACTGACAGAAACTATACGTGGCCTATAAATACTGAAATATTTACTATCTGGTCCTTTACAGAGAAGTTTTTCAATTTATAATCCAGACAAAATTGAACTGTGGAGATAAAAAGCAGAACAGCTTTTATCTCTGGAGGTGAGGGTGGGAGATAACAGGAACTAGGCACGAGAGAACTTTGTATGTGATGAAACTGTTTAATATTTTGATTATGATGATTACTTGGATGTATAGTCCTGTCAAAATTCATTGAAACCTGAGCTTTTTATTGTACATCAATTTTACCTGAATCTTTTTATTTTCCTCATGAGTTGTATCTACTGATTAAAATTGAAAAAGCATCTTTCAAAAAACATTTCTAACTTTCCCTCCTTATCTTCCCTTCTAAGCGGGATTGATAATTTGAATAAAAAGCTTGGTTCTAGAGGTTTTCTTTGGTATTTTTAGCTTGATTGAGAGCTAATCAAATAAAAACCAGTGTTTGTGGGGCTTCAGAAATTATTTTTTTCTTGTGCCTCCCAAGTAACAATTTAACATGATTGAAAATACAAATTTATGTTGTGAAAACTGTAACAGATGTTTTCTTTTAAATGTCTATGTGTGAATGGGAGCAGTGTATAATGCACTCCATTTGTATTAAAATTTATGAAAAATACATGGCAAATTGTTTTACAACATATTCTGTTTCTCCTCCCTTTGGTATGAATTTGGCTGTTATGACATTGATTTGATCTTAAAACTGATATTGAACTCCTGTCCAATATGATTCTGAGACTCCAAAGTAACAGATTCTTTCTTCTTTTGTAGTTACGAATTTTTCTTTTCTTTCATTCTTTCTTTTTTTATTTTTGAGACAGAGTCTCTCATTATGTCTCTGAGTAGTTTACCGTAGCGTCACAGCTCATAGCAACCTCTAACTCTTGGGCTTAAGTGATTCTTTTGCCTCAGCCTCCCAAGTAGCTGGGACTACAGGTGCTCGTCACAGTGCCCAGCTATTTTTTTTGATGTAGTTGTCACTGTTGGTTAGCTGGCCCAGGCCGGGCAAAAACCTGCCAGCCTCAATGCATGTAGCTGGCGCTGTAACCACTGTGCTACAGATGCTGAGCCTCCTTCTTTCTTCTTTTTTTTGAGACAGAGTCTCACTTTGTGCCCCGGGTAGAGTGCCAAGAAAGTGCCATGTCATCATTCACAGCAACCTCAAACTCCTGAGTTCAGTGATTCTCCTGTCTCAGCCTCTCAAGTAGCTGGGACTAAAGGTGCCTACTACAATGCGTAGTTAGTTTTTCTATTTTCAGTAGAGACAGAGTCTCACTCTTGCTCAGGCTGGTCTCAAACTCCTGAGTTCAAGCAACCTACCCATGCTGGCCTCCCAGAGTGCTAGGATTATAGGCATGAGCCATCACACCCAGCCAGAGTTAAGAATTTTCTAATGTGGCTTGGCACCTGTGGCTCAAGTGGCTAAGGCGCCAGCCACATACACCTAAGGTGGCAGGTTCGAATCCAGCCCGGGCCCGCCAAAACAACAATGACGGCTGCAAACAAAAAATAGCCGGGCGTTGTGGCGGGCACCTGTGGTCCCAGCTACTCGGGAGGCTGAGGCAAGAGAATCACCTAAGCCCAGGAGTTGGAGGTTGCTGTGAGCTGTGACGCCACAGCACTCTACTGAGGACGACAAAGTGAGACTCTGTCTCAAAAAACAAACAAACAAACAAAACCAGTTCATACAAGTAAGTAATGGTAAGAAAAACTCTGGCTGCTTTCAGCAGCTTCTTGCCTCAAGCCTAGATTGCTCTCAACCCCCTCCCTTGCCCAGCAAGGATAGAGAGGAGAATTTTAGAGCCTGGGGGAGGAGAGATCCCCCCAGACAGAGTTCAGTGGCTGAGGGATTCTTGAACATTGGGGAACCAGCCTCCACTCCTCACATTACCCTAGGCAGGGGAAAGCCAAACCTGGGCTCAAGGACAGTTATACCCCCATTCTGAACAAGGCAGGCCTGAATAATGGGAATATCCATGATGATTATAGGGCCTGCAGAGCACAAGGCTATTCCTGAACTTCTTTTTCTTTCTTTTTTTTTTTTTTTTTTT